ATGTCCCGTGTCAAAGATAAGATGCAGAATTTAAAATTTCCTTTCCGACCATGTCTGCGCGCTTTATGCAATATAATAATTAAGAGGAAATTCGGTTTAACTCGCAACACCAACTCGTGACCGCCTTTCTGGCTAGAAGGCTGAGTTTCATGAAATGGATAAGGGCACTTCCCATGTCTTTGAGCAGGACTCATGAAAGCGGTAACTTGACTCGATGACGAATTCTTGGCTGGGGACGAACAAGACCAAAATTGGTGCACCCTGTCCGTCTGGTAGGTTCGTTCACGTGGAGCATCCGTCGATCTTCTTCATCTTGCGAAAACAAATCTCCAAATTTAGCGGCTATCTACGTAGTTGCGTAGTCGCCTTTTTGAGCGAAGCACAGTGATGTCAGTCTTGGAAGTGTCATCATATTTATGGCCAGGTAACCCAGTCTTCGTCTGGAACCGACACGTCCACAGGTAACCTAGAAGTGGGATTTTATCTCTTCAAGGCCCCTAGTGAACTTATAGTCGGAAAGTACATCCGTCATGACACAATTCCTATGTTGGGATTTATTAAGGGCGCCACAAGACCTCAGAAGTCGGAGTCGTTTAACTTGATGGACTGTGCTGTTGAAATTAAACAGAGTTTTTTTTCTTAAAATGGACCATTCATCCTAGGCCAGTTCGTCCTGGATACGGGGACATTTAGCAGCCTTGTATTATGTGTGCCAACAAAAATTTTTAAATTAACTGACTTTTTAGAGTTATACCCCAAACGGAATCCATCTCCTTCCTAATCAAACCCAAGTTAAAAATTTAAAATTTTAAGTGGGTTTCAGACGAAGAAAATTTGCCAAAAATATATCATCGTGTTGTCCCCGGCGCGTCCAGCCACAATGAACACCAGGCCTTTGCGGTCTTTCTCTTCTAAAATTTCATACTTTTGGCCTTTTTGTAAATGCTTCTTCTAAAATATGACTTACTATTCAACTAAAACCGCATTGCTGACAAGAGATGAAACGTTGTCGATTCAGGGGAGTCGGCTTCTAAAACAGCCTATTTTTTCCGAATGTTGGCAAGGTTCGCGAGGCTCAACCTCTTCAAATTGGGATAAAAAACTCCGACCAGCTACAGCCGTTTTGTTCACATAGCATTTGCCATCAATAAACAAAGAAACGCGAAGGTACTAAATAGAGCTAAATAGAGGTAGCTACTCCTCGCAGGAGAGGATTCTTAGCTCGCCCCTTGATATCACTGCGGGGAGAGCAGGACTGCGCTTTTCGTAAGACTATCTGCGATGAACATTTGCAGAAGACTGAGCCAAAATAAAGTGTGCGGAATTCGTCGCAACCATGTCTTTTCCATTACGAATAATACGAAGGAAAAGGCGCTTTGGGCAGAAGCGAGAACATTTTTATTCATATTCAGGAAAGTGAATTACACCGACGGATTTAAGGACTATTATTCTAACAGTACTAAGGTAAAAATTAGGTGAAATTTATTTCATTGATTTTTCTCGAAATTTTGAATTATGTTCGGAAAAGGCTTCTGATAGATTTGAGCACTTCTCGAATGCCTTCTCGGCAATTAAAGTCTTCGGTAAAGGACCTCCACGATAATGTTCTCAAGCGTCAAATTGAACATCCGTAGAAGTAACTTTTTTGACTGCCAATTTTTTTTTTACCAAAATTCTAGATAACAAGCGGGTAATGGTAATACATCTTACCCCAGCCGTGACATCATGTACGTTTTCTGAAGTGTTAGCCGTGACAAATAAACATTTGGAGTTGTTTACCGGACCTCGGGCAGTTGTAGGCAAGGCAGCTTTGTCGGAGAAACCGGAAGACTACTCCGTACGCGGATGACCGAGCACGTGACGGCAGTAAGGAGAAACGACTACAGTTCCCAAGTCGCGGCTCATTCGACAAGACCCCATCGCATATTCAAGCTTGATAAAACAAAACTTTTTACTAGCGGCGATAGCCGCATATGCCCCAAACTGCTCGAATCATGGTTTTCCGGTTCTTAATTAATAAAAAATGCAGCGACCTCCCCGTTGCATATCCGGTGCTAGACTTTACTTAGGCCGGGTAGTTAGCCACGTGGAAAGCGTGCGGATGACCACTGTTCTTGTTTTTAATGTCGACAAGCCAAATTGTCAAAGATTACGCACGGATGACGAAATCCGGCAGTCAGAATCTTGACGGCGTGTGATGGTCGTGGGTGTCGGTAATCTTGACTGACACATAAGCGCCTGGCAATTACATGGTAACTGCATGCTTCAACACCTGGCCAGTCGAGCTATGATGCACCCGGGAGCTGCCAAGTGCCGTAGGCATACAGTGGCCGAGCAACTGTATCATATAAATACTGCAACACGTGGATACTCCACTACCCCTGTGTGACTCGCCCTGATGATGGTTTCGAGTGAAAAACCGAAACGAAGCTCATGTTTCAGTGTTCGTATCTTCCTCTTCACGAGACGGTGGAATTGAAAAAAAGGTGTTGCAAATCGACGAAGTTCCCACGGATCACACAGTAGTGACAAACAAATTAAAATGCTAAAGTTTCTACCGATTACGGAAGCCAAGATGAGGTGAAATTATACTAAGAGTTCAAATACAGACAGTCCGTGCAAGGAATGGACACATGCCAAATCAAAACCGAGGTACATTGACGGAGACACCTTCCAGAAATCTGCAGCATACTCGTATAACAGTATGAAATCCTTAAGTAACCTAGGCAAGCCGCGATTAAACGTACAATGAGCTAGAATTGGAATCGAGATTCCCTTGGTGGAGGGACCGTCTTCAAAACCGGAAGCATGACTGACCACATATTTTGTTGAGACATTGTGCCTGATCACTGAAACAAGGACTCCTATCGTCTGCTCTCAGTTTCTGCCATAACATAACTTTTGCTATTCATCAGCAGATTTAAGACAAGAAAAAAGCACCTTAATGAAAAAGATTGAGGGTAGAGACGCGAACAGCCTAACAAGAAAAATAAACAACGAGAAATCTCTGGAGATATATCCACCGAAAGTAATTTTTAGATCCAGCGTTATCTCTAGAATGTAACCCGTTAAAGTGCCATTTTTAGGGTCCTCGAGGATACAGCTGAACACGAAAGCTGGGATTCGAAAGATTTCGAATCAAGTTGAACCAAATCACAAAGATTAAATTTCCTCATACCACTATGATCGAATAGATCGAGCCTAAGGGCAAAAGGGTAAGAGCATGTGCTTTAACCCGATCGAAGAACACATTGTCGTAGGTGTCGATAATCTTGACTGACACACAAGCGCATGGCCGAAATGGCCGTTTCTCGCTTATTATTCGTCGTTAGCAGGTCATACTCAACCCCGAAGCATGCAACACCCTGGAGCTGGGTTCCGCAACCTGTTAGTTAGAATTCCAACGCCTCTACCCACGTGTAACCGATCCCTACCCAATATGGACAGTTGCGACAAACCCATTGAAGACACTAACAATGTTTTAAGGATTCGGCATCCTTGTCTTCTGGTTCATTGCAGTGCGTCTCAACACGCCGATATAGCGTTCTTACGTCATTGCGTTTGTGGCTGATTGAGTGGTTGCTGTTGAAGTTCAGTATTTGCGTCGTGTTCGTCGCTTTGCTGAACACTTCGATCTTTAGGCCACCACAATCATTGCGATGGACGAGGACATCAATGAATGCCAGCTGGTTGTTTTCTTCCTCCTACATCGTAAGTTCTATGTCCCGGAAGACACTGTTAAGACGTTTTTCGAACGTTAGCACCTGATCCCGTTCGATGACGACGGAGATATCGTCCACATACCGAGCCCAGAATTTCGGTCTGTGGTATTGTAAGACCAGCAGAACCGCATCGGCGATGAATCCCGAAATCGGCGAGCCCATTAGTGTTCCCTTCACCTGCTCGTAGATTGTTCCGTCAAACCTGAAGTACGTCCTGAGACAGAACTTTAGGAGCTGAAGGACTTGGGCAGAGTCATAGGCTGGCCAAAGTAATTAACCACTCGGGGAGCGCGCAGGCCGGTGAGCCAGATGACCGAGAAATCATCAAACCACCATCCAACACGGATGATGAGATTTCGGCAATCTACAGCTTGCAGGCCGGCCGTCAAGCCATTAGCGCACTACCGGGCAACGATTCTTGATGAAGGGGAGAGCGGTTACTTGCTATCGGTATGCGGT